TCTTGTCAATGTGAACTCTAAAATAGGATGGTGCTGTCAGACCTAGCGTAACATGCTCTGTTGATAAAGTTTTTGGATCAGTAGATGATACAATATTTTGACTAGTTTGTGGATTTTAGTCAGTTTGTTTTATTCACCACGGTCACGCCAACTTATGTTGTTAGTCTATTTAAAGTTCTGTTGAAGTTTGGGGTTTGGTAGGCTAGTTACAATTTGTAGTGTTTTTTCATCTGTCCTTCCCCCGTCTTCACAGCAAGGTCAGCTTCTCTGACGAAAAGTAAGAGACAGTGAAACCCTCCTGTGGCCAATCACACAAGTCCTTATTTAGAGAAGAAATGATTTGGCCTCCTTTGCACAGTCAGGATCCCACCACCCTTATATCCGCCACAGCCGTGCCTCCAATACTAAAAATGCCAGAGGTGATGTTTGTGGTAAACAGGTGGGGTTTGTGCTTGCCCAGTTCCTGTTACCTTCCCACGTCCCCTAAGTGCACACCTGTGCCTGGTTAACAGTTGCTTTAATAAATAATTAACTTTTTTTTATTAACTGTCAGCGATCACCCGTTCTAAGCTTATGTGAGGGGAAGTAACACTTGTTACTCAAACAGTATCGCTTTGATGAATTGATCCAGTCCTAAATTAGGAGTTCATTTTATTATTGGAATTAAGTATATTATTGAGCTTGAATGCTTTCTTTTTTCTTTTTTATTTTTTTTTAAAGATTTTTATTTATTTATTTGAGAGAGAGAGAATGAGAGACAGAGAGCACGAGAGGGAAGAGGGTCAGAGGGAGAAGCAGACTCCCCGCTGAGCAGGGAGCCCGATGTGGGACTCGATCCCGGGACTCCAGGATCATGACCCGAGCCGAAGGCAGTTGCTTAACCAACTGAGCCACCCAGGCGCCCTTGAATGCTTTCTTAATTGCTGTTTCCTTTGAGTTCAACTGTGATACTATTGATACTTATTTGCCAAAGAAGCTTGTATCCTACATCTTATACCTCTTAGGATTAATACTTAAATTTATGTTAGAATTATTATTTTTTAGGTAAATTTAAAATTGAACTAGAATTCTGTTCTGGCTACCAGCCGCTACCAGGCTCATGAGGCTTTTTACTTCTACTTCCGAATCTCATTATTTGGCTACATCGATGAGTTTGTTTTTAAAAATTGCTCATAGGAACTCCTCTGGTTTCAAGGTGTTTCACTTGAAATTCCCTGAAAGTACTGAAATATAGTACTTTCTCTATAGCACCAATTAAAATTTCTTACTCATATACTTTTATTTGTAAACGTTTTATTTAATTTATATGTTCTTCGGTATGCCAGTGTTTTTTCTGGTTTTTTTTTTTTTGGTTTTGCATGCACATCTGTAAAAATTTTTATTATTGATGTATAGTTGATACTCGTTTCAGCTGTATAACATAGTGATTGGATAATTCTATACATTACTCAATGTTCCCCGCACTATGTGCACTTACTATACAACATTATTACAGATCTGACTACATTTCCTATGCTGTACTTTTCGTGGCTTACTTATTTTATAAGTGGAAGTTTCTACCTCTCAATGCCCTTTATCTATTTCAGCTGTCCTTATACCCATATCTCCTTTGGGAATCATCAGTTTGGTCTCTGTAGTTAGGAATCTGTCTCTGGTTCTTAGTTCATTGTTTTTGTTTTTTAGATTTCAAAGGCAAGTGGAATCATACACTATTTGTCTTTCTCTCTGACTTACTCCACTTAGCATAATAACTTAGCATAATACCCTCCAGGTCCACCCATGTTGTTTCAAATAACAAGATCTAATTTTTTTAAATAACTGAGTAATAGTAATTGTATGTATACACACCACATTCATCTATCCATGGAACCTTGAGCTGCTTCCATATCTTGGCTATTGTATTTGTAAATAATGCTGCCACAAACAGAGGGCTGCCTGTATCTTTTGAAATTGTTTTAATTTTCCTTAGCTAAATATCCAGAAGTGGAATTACTGGGTTGAATGGTATATCTATTTTAGTTTTTTTTTTTTTTTTTTTTTTTTTGAGGAATCTCCATACTACTGCTACCCACAGTGGCTATACCAGTTCGCATTCCCACCAACAGTGCATGGGGTTTCCTTTCCTTTACATTCTTGCTAAAATTTGGTCTTGTTTTTGATTCTAGCCATTCTGACAGGTGAGAGGTGGTAGCTCCTTGCGGTTTTGACTTGACTTTCCCTGATGATGAGTGATGTTGAGCACCTTTTCATGTGTCTGTTAGCCATTTTTGTATGTCTTCTTTGGAAAAATGTCTATTCAGGTTTTCTGCCCACTTTTCAGACTATTTTTTTTGTGTTCTATATTTTGGATGTTAACACCTTATTATATGTATCATTTGTAAATATCTTCTCTCAGTGGCTTTTGTTTTGTTGGTTTCTTTTGCTGCGCAAAAAATTTTGTTTTGATGTAGTGCCTGTTGTTTATTTTTGCTTTTGTTTCTCTTGCCTGGGGAAACCTATCCAGAAACAAATGGCTAAGGTTGATGTCCAAGAGATTACTGCCTATGTTTTCTTTAAGGAGTTTTATGAATTCAGGTCTTTAATCTATTTTGTGTTTTTCCTGTATGGTACAAGAAAGTGGTTTCATTCTTTTGCATGTAGCTATCCAGTTTTCCCAACACCATTTATTGAAGATGCTGTCTTTAACCCACTGTGTATTTTTGCTTCCTTTGTTGTAGAAGAATTGACCATATAACCATGGATTTATTTCTGGGTTCTCAATTTCTCTTTCATTGATCTCTGTTGTTGTGCCAATACCACGCTGTTTTGATTACTACAGCTTTGTAGTGTACTTGAAAACTGGGATGTTGGTATCTCCAGCTTTGTTCTCCTTTCTCAAGATTGCTTGGGCTGTTGGGGGTCTTTTGTAGTTCCCTAAGAATTTGAAATTTTTATGGGGCACCTGACTGGCTCAGTTGGTAGAGTACGTGACTCTTGATCTTAGGGTTGTTTGAGCCCCACAGTGGGTGTAGAGATTACTTAAAAAATCTTTTTTTTTTTTTTAACTTTAGAATTGTTTTTGTTCTAGTATGTGGAAAAATACTAGTGGTATTTTGATAGTAATTGCATTGGCTCTGTAGATTGCTTTGGGTTGGACATTTTTAACAATATTCTTCCAATTCATGAACATAGTATATTTTCCCATTTGTTTGTGTTGTCTTTTATTGGTTTCATCAGTTATCTTAAAGTTTTCAGAGTATAGGTCTTTTACTTCAATGGTTAAATGTATTCCTAGGTATTTTATACTGTTTAATGTAATTGTAAATGGGTTTTGGTTTTCTTAATTTCTCTTTCTGCTATTTTGCTTTTAGTGTATAGAAAAGCAACTGATTTATTTTTGTATCCTACAACCTTCTTGAATTTTTTAGTTCTGATAATTTTTTGGTGGAGTATTTAGGGTTTCCTATATTCAGTATCCTTCATCTGCAACTAGTGAGTTTTACTTCTTCCTTACCAATTTGGAGGCCTTTCACTTCCTTTTCTTTCTGATTGCTATGAGTAGGACTTCCAGCACTCTGGTGAGTGGACATCCTTATCTTGTCATGATCTTTGAGGAAAAGCTTTCAGCATTTCACCCACTGAACAATGGGTTTGCTGTATATGGCCTTTATTATATTGAAGTATATTTCCTCTCTGCCCACTTAGTTGGGAGTTTTTATCATGAATTGATGTTGAATTTTGTCAGATGCTTTCTCTGCATCTTTTGAAATGATTATATCATTTTTAGTTTTAATTTTGTTAACAGAGTATACTATATTGATTTTGTGTATGTTAAACCATCCTTGCATCCCTGGAATAAATCCTGCTTGGCTGTTGTGAATGATCGTTTTAGTGGATTGTTGAATGTGGTTTGCTAATATTTTGTTGAGGATTTTGGCATCTGTGTTCACCACAGATAGTGGTGTGCTTTGGTTTCAAATTATTCTATTCAAAGGTTATACCGATAGATTCTTCCTAAAGATAAAAACAGAAGATTTTCAAGTTTGCCCTGCCCATTGCTGTTTATCTTAAAAAAACAAATACAACCCCCCCCCCCTTTTTTTTTTTGAAATTGACTGGGATAATGCAAAGATCTGACTGGCGATAAGCCATAAGGAAATACTCCTGTACCAGTTAGGCAGTTAGGAATTCTGTGGCTGACCTATTGTCCAGTCCCTTCTCCTTCGCTCATTCTCATTATAAAGACTACTTGCTTACTCTGCCTCTCTTACACAATACTAGGCAACAGGATATAAGCACAAATGTGGTGGAAGCTTCTGGAAAAGCTTTTTTTTTTCCCCCCCTGACAGGACAGATACACCAGGCACTGCCCCTTCTCCCAGCTTCCGATGTAATTATATACTCTGGACCTGTGGCAGCCACACTGCAACCATAAGGAAAAGGCCAAGTAATCACCTGTTATATCAGGAGGAAAGTCTTTGCTAAAGCTTAATATCAATTTAAATATATTTAGAAACTATACATTAGAAAATGTATTTAAATATATTTAAAAATCTCTTATTAAACAATTTCTACATTTTGAGGTGACACTGCAAATAAAGTTTTCTGATATAACCAATTAAAATTAACAGATCAATCTGTATGCCTGTCTAAATGGTGATACCAAGTTCAAAACCAATTACTCCTTACCTAGCTAGCCTTGTCCTATCAGTAGGGGTACAAAGACACATAAACCAACAGATAAATTATATATTACATGTTTATTAAGGGCACAACTTTTATGTAAAATTTACATTTTATGAAAAAATCGAAAATATTTACAAAATTGTGTAAGATAGATTTGCATTGTTCTAATTACAACTCAAAGTAGTAAATAATATTTCTTAAAAACTCACATTTGTTAGAGTTCTGTGTTTACAAATTCTTGGTTAAAGAAGGCAGCTACAAAGTTTATCACTATACATAAGCAAGAACCAGCTTGCTAAATACATTTCCCATTGAAAATCTACTGGTCTTTTTTATACCATTAGTGGATTTTTAAATGAAAAAATCACTATAAACTCATATGGCTTCAAAATTGTAACCTGCGCCTAAATACAAATGTAGGTATCAACACTTGGTATGAAGACTGTGGTAATTAAGAAAGTGCAGAAGTTTAACCATTTCACTAATTTGAACATTTTCAGGTAATACTTGATTTAAAAACAAACATGGTGAGTGTAATGGTGTCAAGTCCAATAATAAAGTATTAACTGCCCATTAAAAGCAGCCCAATTACAAAGCAGTTACATTTAAGATTCCAGTAAGGGACTGTAACTGGCATTTAAAAGAACACAATGTAAGAGTTAGCAATTCTCATTTCGCTATGTAGTAAAGATGAACATTTCAGCAAATTGTCTTAATGTGTTGCTTTAGTCAAATCTAAATTTAGAACTGGGCTAACACTGAATATATTTAAAAAGCACATATTGTGTTATATGTATTGCTAATAAGTAGATTTCCTGCTATATTTAGTAGAGCAAGACATTACATAAGTGTCTAGTAGTAGGGGTTTTATGTTCTGTAAAGCTTAACAGAATAATTAGTGGTTTTATATAAATTATATAACACAATTTATCACTTCTATGTAAAAATGCAGACACTGGCATTTATCCTTATAAATAAAACTCCCATTTGTAAATTATGAAACTGTCCAAAATATTTTAAGTCTTTCAGTTAATCAGGATTTGCTACAAAGTTAGGTTTTTTACTATTTAATATTAGTAGTTCAAGAAAGGCTTAACCCAATCCATCACTTCAAATAATCTCCCCATTTCTAGTAGGTGGCAGTTAAATAATAAAAACATATAAATTGGTAATTTTTCCAACTGTTGAAATGAAAACAACTGGCAGTACTTCTCCAATGCCAAAACTAGTATTTCTTAAATGTGTTCCTCACAAAATACAAAATTCATGCTCACATTCAGTAAATGTATATAAATTTCCAATGATAAACAGAATGAAGGGAAATGCCAAGTTGAGAAATAAAACAGCAGTTACCAATTAACCATTAATCAGTTTTTCAATGTTTGTTTTATGATTTACATACTTAGGTGGAATAACTGAAGGTAACTTTCCCCCCTGTAAACATATGCCCTTAGGTATAGTTCTCTTTCTAGTGGCTACAGTGTATTACTAAAGAAGTGAGCCAGGGTTTTTAAGTACAAATTACCCTTTAGTTACTCTGAATTCCCTTCCCAACTGAGGCCAAAGGTATTTACAGAAATGGCAATTATCTTGTAAAAATGACCACCCTAAGATAGAAGATCCAGACTGTGGGGGGGGGGGGGAAGTGAGGCACGTTAATGAACACAAACTGGATAGGCACATTTCTGGCTTTTGTTATTGTTTTAAAAGGCACACATTATGTAATCCATATAAAAATAAATTAAATCTACAGCATTAATTCTTAAAAACAATCACAAATTCTATAAAGTTAACTAACTGCAGAAGTAAATTCCTCTGCGGTCTTTTGCAAGCTTATTTTAAAACACATTGCACTTGAGAATTAAAAAACATACAAAACACCATCTATACTTTATTAATGTTTATATGAGAATCAAATTATACATTTTTTGCATACGCCTTGGACTCTGGTCTGATTATGGCACATAACTCAATTTGATTGAGTATTCTAAATTAACATTATCCAAAACTTACAATTCACGTTCTGTGTGTCTCCATTCAATATCAAACTTAGGAAATTTCTGACTCTAAAAATTAATGGAAAGCTGAATTATTTTGTGCTTGCTCTCCTGAAATTTTAGGCGTGATAATACGCTACAACTCAGACACTGAAGATAATGTAAAATTTCAGCCTAGGAAAACTTCATTTTACTGAGAATCTCAACAAAGGTGCTTCTGGAATATGGCAGTTGATCATTAACAGAGTTGAAAATCATTTCAGTGCTACTGCTTTTGATGACTCACTTCAAAAGTGCAATTTAATGTTTGTAATCAGTTCTCAAATATGTGTAAGTTCAAAGACCTAATACAAGCTAAAATAGAGTTGGAAAGAACAGACAACACAGGATAGCAGGCCTGTAATTCTCTTGAGCCAACCAGTTTCCCAGGTCTATCAACAATCCGCCAGGTATCGTCCTGAAAAACACCAAGCAGACCCCAGCAATTACACTTTCAAATGAACTCAAAGGAGGACATTTTCACTGTGGGTACAGATACACAAACTCAGTTCCCACCTGCTGTTTACAATACATTAGAAACAGATCACAGCTGTCCAGGTCCAGCTGTCCGGACCATGATTACTCCCTCCCAGGTGTGTCTCTACCTGGTACTTTGTACAAAGGTCAAAGAAGAAAGTTTCCATGACTTTAGATTATAAACTGCTTGACAATTTAAACAGTTGCTTAGAAACTTACTGTTCGAATATGTTTCCCATGTACATTAAAAACTTAAAATCTCCCAACTTACCAGTGGCAAACCGCTTCTTTACTAAGGAAAGCCTATAGCCAGTGCCTACAAGTTCAATATCTACTCCTGAGAGGGTATTTCCCTCGCTGAGGAATTGCACTGCAAGTGTGGTGGGTCTACTAGGTCCTTCTGAAAGATCAAATTTTGCTCTGAGGGACCCAGAACCTATAAGGCAAAGAATAAAAGAACTTACAGAGGGCAACATAAAATTGATACAAACAAGTGAAGATGAACTATGTCCTATGCCAAATTCATAAAATGTATACAGTAAACAAACCACTGTCCTGTTTCCAAAGCAGACTTTATTCAGTGAATCTGAATTAATTTAATCCTTGCTTCTCTCTGACTTAATAGTAAACACCCTGGTAGACTCCTACTGAGATTCCTCGTGCTACATACAGACACATGCGGAAGTAAGTCAAAAGAGAAAAAGGGAGTCCATGAGGGCAGTTCAGAGGGAAACCCTAGGAGGAGTTCAAGGAGGAATAAAGTCAAAAGGAAATGACAGCAATTACCATATTAAGGGGGTGGGAGAGGTAAAGAAGGAAAGACAGCTAAGACTGGGAAAGCTGTATCAACGTGATTTTCTACTCTGCTTCTTCAAACTTAACTGGTACTATGATGCCAAATACAACTGACCTGTAAACAACATGGGTTTGAACTATGTGGGTCCACTTAAACATGGATTTTTTCCCCCATCAATACAGTACTGTAAATGTATTTTCTCTTCCGATTTTAACATTTTCTTTTATTTACTTTATTTTGACAATATCTATGTAGAGAATACATAGAACAGTATTTTCAACTGTTATCAGTAGAACTTCTGGTCAACAGTAGACTATTACTAATAAAATTTTGGGGGAGTCAAAGTTATATGTGGATTTTTGACTCTACAGTGCCGCCAGGGTGGTTGGGGTGCAGAGGGTTCGGCAGTCCTCACCCCTGCATTGGTCAAGGGTCAACTAGGTAGTTTTGAGATGCTTTCTTTTCAATATAACCATTTATTCAACGTACCTCAGTCTAACTGTGTGCCAGAAACTGTAAACCAAATAATTATGAATATGATAAATGCTGTAAAAGAGCTCTTAAGAGCTATGGGCCCAATGTGAATTGCACACAGCGGTAACTACAGGTACAGAGATGGGAGGCCTGAGAGAGCACAGGGCCTTTAAGGGAACTGCATACATCGCAGAAGAGCTGGAGAACAGGATGCAAGAGTGGCAGAAGATAAGACTAGAGTTGGAGGAAGGAACACGTTCGAAGTATCTGTACAATTCACGATAAGAAATAATCATAGGGAGCCGCTAAGATAAGGAAGACAAACATTTCAGATTAGTATCTCAAAAGGGGACAGAAGTACAAGATGCAAGGTAGGGAAACCAACTAAAAGCCAATAAAACAGTGTAGAATTCTAGGTGACAGTTGATTAAACAGGGGATCTCAACTAGGCTAAGGGAAAGGAAAGAAGTATGTGCATTTGAAAGATATTTCAGAGTTGGGAGTCAAAAGAGGGGGAAAGGAGTCATCTAGGGGCATGCTCAGGTTTCCGGTCAAGGAAAAGAGATGGAATTGCTAGGTAGCAGGAGTGACATTCTAGGATTCCTTGCACAGAAGCTGAACACCACAGAGGGAAATCTGGAGGAAGATACCATAACCGTGATCCAGCCTGCAGGACTGCACCTGATGGCACAGACCAGCTGGGGGATGAACTGCTGCGTAATTCTTAACCACTGTCCAAACCCTCCTTACACTTTTACAGTTCTCTTGATAGGCAATTCAATTCTGTGAAAGTGCTACTACATAGGCCAAGAGCAGCCACCTTGGCAGTCTTTAAACTTGAGAATTATTTCCTGTCCCTCTTCTGGGCATAATGCCAGAGTAGAAACATATTCCTATTTTACAGTATTCTAATTTGGATATTTCTTTTTTAAAGGCTGACTAACCAAATCAGAACCACATTTAAAAGATTTTTCCATTTCTTCACGCACTCGATACCTGCACAGCAGAGGCAAACTATTAAAATATCTGGTTAGAAAATTTGTATCTTATTTTTGAAGGAACAATTTCCCTCGTTAGTACTTAAAAGAGTACGGTTTCATTAAGGGGAAAAAAATCTATGTCCTCTCTTCCCTGCTAACTGGTTGTAAGCCCTCAATTCAAACAGGATTTCTGGTTTACTTCTAGTTTTAACTACGAATTTCAAATTTGTCTCCCCAGAAGCCATAATGCTTGAGTAAAAGTCAGCACCACTGGCACCTGAAAATAGGCAAACTTCAAGTACCAAACAGCAACAAAGGAACTGTAGATCATCTTGGCTATTTCACCAAATAGATGTTTCTCTAGTAAAAGTCTGATTCAGCACGGCATGTATAAATAAATAGCCACTACAGATATGTTGCTGGTCCTTGATAAAGAAATACATGAGAAAACCTACTGAAATGATTTATGTTTTGATCACAGTATGCTTAAAATGTTCAAAGAGAAAAAGCTTAAGCAAAACTGGAAAAGCTAAAAAAAAAAAAAACCTACTTAACAGGAAAAGTTATTGAAGGTTAAATTAGGCATTCAAAGGAGAGCAGGAAAGTGAAATAAATCAATCAAAGATAATTATCATATGATCTCACTGATATGTGGAATTTGAGAAACAAAGCAGAGGATCATAGGGGGAGGGAGGGAAAAATGAAACAAGACGAAACCAGAGAGGGAGACAAACCGTAAGAGCCTCTTAATCTCAGGGAAAAAACTGAGGATTGTGGAGTGGGGGGGGTGGTGGGAAGGATGGGGTAACTGGGTGATGGACATTGGGGAGGGTATGTGCTATGGTGAGTGCTGTGAATTGTGTAAGACTGATGAATCACAGACCTGTACCCCTGAAACAAATAATACATTATATATTAATTAAAAAAAAAAAGGAGAGCAGGAGAATTCTCTTAACTTTAAGAGAAAATGATAGTGAGTAAAGACTTGATGGTCCTGGAAATTATGTTCTAAGTTGACTTAGAGGAGACACTAGGGTGACCACCCAGCAGAGATTTTTCCTTTGCATTTTGAACACAAACAGATGGAGACTTGGTGGGAGTAAGCAATTAACTTGTTTCTCCTTAAAATAATCAGAGAAGTAAAAGCTGCTGATGGTTGGTTTTACTAAGGTGATACGACTAGGAGAAGTTGTCTTAGGAAGGTGGGAAGGCAAAGAAAGAGGATTTTTAAAGTCTGGAAGCTTCTGCATGATTTCTGGGAGGCCAGGACACCAATAACAGAACGACCTAAAGGGTGTGTTAAGAGAGTTTCAGTTAGTTATCACGTTACCCAGCAGGATAGATGGTTCTACTTGAAAATACCTACTAAAGTAGATTGACTGTTACCATGTGAGCACACACATTTACACAGTTTTTATAAAGTTACAGTGAAACAACTGCTTTTTCTTACAGAGAAAGCATATTCAATCTAGAGGGAAAAAAATGTGTTCTGAATATCAACTGGTGCACTCTTATTTAAGGTATTAACTTCCACCTAGTGGTCAATTCTAGAACTGAAGGCATGAAAATCCAAGAAAAACCTTTCCATAAAGATGCCTAAAAAAATACATTTTCAGGGGCACTGCATTACAAACAAAAAAGCATATACACACTTACCTCCATTTTCTGATTTCTCTGAAATACCAGAGAGTTTCCACAAGGCTTTCATTTGTTCTGCATTCCTGTAAGAACAAATATCTTCAAATTAAGTGTCCAGTATAGTGCCTTATAAATGGATGGGCAGTCAAAAAATAACTGTATTTTAAATATTTCAGCAGAACAACTATAGGGCTAAATTTACTTTTAGTATTACCTGGTGAAGATGTGTTTATGATATATGCTAATATCTTAATTAATGGAAATTTACTAGATTACAAAATTCTTCTGGTCAGAGAAAGGAAAACTAAATGTATAGGTGGTTTGGTATACCTTCATTACTAAAGAAGAAAATCAGTGAAGCAAACAGTGTCAGAATCTCATATTAATAAAGGGAACAAGAGAGGAAGTTAAGAGATGAGAGTTACTAAACTAATAAGACAGGTGTCCTTACGGATATGCTAGATGCTATATTTAACTCGCAAAGTAATTTTTTTTTTAAGAAAAAGTTTACAGAGGTTAAGCAATTTGCCTAAAGGTAAAGTTGTACTGTATCATTCAGGTCTGGGTGGTGACAGCAAACCCACTTTTGGAATGAGACTACTGTGGTTTGACTACTAGGATGAACAGCATCTTTCATACATTACCATGGTTTCCACGGTAAAATGCACTAAAACTTTTCAAACTTACAAGACAACTTTGAGAACATAGGTTCTAGAAGTTGGGACTTGGAGCAGAAATTTAGCAGGAATTCAGAAATCTAAAATTTACCATATTGCAGGGGGAAGGGACTGCATGTTTGTGACTCCTCCATCCACAGGTACCACCACCTGTATGTTGGAAAGCACACTTGGTGCGACCATAGCTTCTGGGTTGTACTTATAATCCACTCTAAGATCTGTGGTGCCAGCACTGCATTTCCAGTATGTTGCAAGATTTAGAGGAGTGGACTGAATACCATTTGATGATACCTTTAAAGAGAAAACCCAAGAAAGTTTTTTGCCCCAAAAGTAAACAAGTCATGCTATTGAGATGTATACATGACCACAAGAGGTCTTGGAATCAGAAACAATGATGGAAATACTGCTAGGCAGAATAAAGCAGGTTCATCTCAAAGGAGTAAGAGTCACTCTCCAAGTGTGGATCTAGAACTACATACATCAAAATATCCATGATACTTGTGCAAAATACACATTCCTGTAGATCCAAATACAGAAAATCTGACTCAGAAGCTTAGGTACAAGGTCCAGAATATGATATCAGGTGATTCTTATTTATGCATGTAACTTTTGAGTATCTCTCAATATCCAACACAGAATTCTAAGATTTCTTATGAATTTAAGAAAATTCAATTAAAAAAATCATGCAATACCGCAAGTCGAGAATTAGAATACTTCCAATTGCCAGTGTTTAACCACATGACCCATAATAAATGGTGCAATTCTTTTCTATTCTTTAGTTCCCTGCTCAAATAACTCCTACCTTAATGAGACCTACCCTGATCACCCTAAATTTACACTAATATTACATTTTCATTCTTTATTCTGCACACTTTGCCTTTTCTCAGTAACATACGTTATTACCTACTTATGATATATACTTTCATGCTATTCCTAGTAAACAAGCACTGAATAATACAGAATTAATAATGAATACTTTGAATAAACTTTAAGCCCATTTAAGTGGCAGCACTTTTAAAGATTTATTTATTTATTTTGAGAGAGTGAGAATGAGAGAGAGTACATGAGAGGGGGGAGGGTCAGAGGGAGAAGCAGACTCCCTGCTGAGCAGGAAGCTCGATGTGGGACTCGATCCCAGGACTCCAGGATCATGACCTGAGCCGAAGGCAGTCGCTTAACCAACTGAGCCACCCAGGCGCCCTAAGTGGCAGCACTTTTTATAAAGTATTTATTTTCTAGAAACACAAGCCACTTTAATACCATTACTCTATTAAAAATTCAGAATAGTATGGCGGCAAGGAGGGCAGCGCCTGGGTGGCTCAGCTGGTTAGGCATGTGCCTTTGATTCAGGTCATGATCTCAGGGTCCTCGCATCAAGTGCTACTTCGGGCTCCCTGCTCAACAGAAAGCCTGCTTCTCCCTCTATACCCCCCCCACCCCTTGTACTCACTCTAATAAATACAATCTTTTTTTAAAAATTTTTTTATTGTTATGTTAATCACCACACATTACATCATTACTTCTTGATGTAGTGTTCCATGACTCGTTGTTTGTGCATAACACCCAGTGCTCCACGCAGAACGTGCCCCCCTTAATACCCATCACCAGGCTAACCCATCCCCCCACCCTCTAATAAATACAATCTTAAAAAAAAAATTTCAGATGAAACAGGAAACTTATCCCTTGACATTCTTACTCCCCATTGTTAACACCGTGGTACATTACCTTACACACTTGGGAGGCATGCATACATGGATCTCATTCTTTTTAAAGGCCGTAGTAACTCATTTAATGAATCTCTTCTGTAGATGTGTACTTAAGTGGCTTCTCATAAAATGCTGCAGTGAATATCCTTTGTACCTTAATCTTCGTTTTTTGCCCATTTTTGTGATATTTGAAGAACTGATTTCTTGAGGTGGAATTGCTAAATTAAAGGTTCAACTATTCAGGGGCACATGGGTGGCACAGTCATTTAAGCATCAGACTTTTGTTTTGGCTCAGGTTGTGATCTCAGGATCTTGAGATGGAGCCCCGTGCTGGGCTCTGCACTGAGGACGGAGTCTGCTTGAAATTTTTTCTCTCTGCCCCGCCTGCTCGTGCTCTCTAAATAATTCTTTAAAAATTCGACTATTCAGCAATCTAATTCAACAACCTAAAAGAACTGCTTTCTAATCAGTTTGATTAACTTGTACACCTTCTAACAAGTGGTCACACCTCTCTTAATGGAGCAGTCTTGCCCATTTTTATCAATTAATGGGCTAAAACTGATATCTCACTGTCTTAATATTCGTTGCTCTCATTACTACTGACATGGAGCATCTTCTGTAAGTTACCTATCTATTGAGTTAATCACCTTTTACTTACTAATTTATAAGGTTTACAGTAACCCTTTGGTCTTATATATTACAAATACTTTTCCCTCAGATTAAATATGGATTCTGTTTAAGAATCTGTTTTAACAAAGAGTTTATATACGCTGATTTACTTGTTGTCAAAGATCTCACTCTCTCATTCATGGCTTCTGGGTTTTGTATTACACTTAGGTCTTGACATTTCAAGATCAAAATATGTAAAATATATATAGTTATACATATATACACACTTGCATATATACCCACAGATTTATATTCACCCATGATTTATTTTAGTAACTTTATGGTTTCATCTGTTACTATTATTGATACATGCAGATTTTATTTTGTTTAAAGGTATGAGTTAGGGATTCAGTGAATTTTTTCCCAAATCTCCCGCCTGATGCCCCAGTACCATTTATTGAAAAACTCATCATTTCCACATTGCCTTGAAATGCTAATTTGTCAAGTTTTCCATTTATTCTTAGATCCATTTCTGGACATACTCTTCCTTTGATCTGGCCATCTATTCTGCCAGTTCCAAACTACTATAAATACTGTCACCTTACAAAAAGTTTTCCCATTAAAACTCAAACATTACTCCACATTACCATTTAAGACATTTAACTGATTATTCCAAGCTTTATTCTTCTAGAGAACCTGAAAATGACTGTCAAGTTTCTAAACACCAATACGTACACACTTCTACTAAGTTTCTGATCAGGATTACATTAAATTTGTAAGTTATTTTAGAAACACCTAAACTCTTCATCTGAATAAAGTATTCCTTTATAGTTATATTCAGCTCAGTAGAGATTGTTAGTTTTTTTCCTAATTGGTTTTTATTGTTGTTGTTCACTGTGGCTATAGGAAAGGATGGTGTAACAGATTTTTAAAAGAATTTTTATTGTGGTATATTGACATGAATTTCAGTCAGACAGCATATTCAATATATTTGTATACACTGCAAAATCACAATTATTTTTTCTCATGATGAGGATTAAGATCTACCCTCTTAGCAACTCTGAAATATGCAATAGTTTTACTAACCTTAGGACACTGTATCTTCCATCCTCATGACTTATTTTATAACTGGAAGTTCGTACTTTTGAATCACTTCACCCATTTTGCCTACCCCCCTGAACCCTCTATTTGGCAACCAACAATCTGTTCTCTGATCTCTGAGCTTGGCATTTTGTTTTTTAAGTTCCATATATAAGTGGGATTATACCGTATTTGTCTTTGTTGGTCTTACTTCACTTAGCGTAGTGCCCTCAAGGTCCATCCATGATGTTACAAGATTTCATTCTTTATTATGGCCAAGTAATAGTCCATTATATACATACAACATCTTATTTATGCTTTCATCTGTCGAGGGACACTTGGGTTGTTTCCATGTCTAGGCTATTGTTAGTAATGCTACAGTACACATGGGAGTGAAAATGAATTTCTTAGTGTTTTTATTTTCTTCAGACAGGTATCTAGGAGTCCAACTGCTAAATCACATGGTAGTTCTTTTTGAATTATTTTTTTCTTTTTGAGGAATCTCCATATTGTTTTCCATAGTGGGTGCACTAATTTACATCCCCACCAACAGTACACAAAGATTTTTTTCTCCATATCCTCTCCACAACTTGTAAATTCCTGTCTTTTTAATAACAGCTATTCTAACACATGTGAAGTGATATTTCATTGTGGTTTTGATTTGCATTTCCCTGACTAGTGATGAGCATCTTTTCATGTGCCCTACTGACCATCTGTGTTTTCTTTGGAAAAATGTCTATTCATACCCCATACCCATTTTGTAATCCGATTGTTGGCTATGAATTCTTTTGGGTATTAACCCTTATCAGGTTGATTTGCAAATACTTCCTCCTATTAAGTAGGTTGCCTTTTCTTTTTCTGATCGTTTCCTTTGCTGTGCAGAAGCTTTCTAATTTGAGGTAGTCCCACTTGTTTATTTTTGCTCTTGTTGCCTTCGCTTTTGGAGTCTGATCCAAAAAATCATTGTCAAGGTCACTGTCAGGGGAACTTAGCCACTTTTTTACTCTTCTAGGAGTTTTATGGTTTCAGGTCTTAAATTCAAGTACATGGACTTTTTGAGTACGGTATAAGACAGGGGCCCAGTTTGATTCTTTACCATGTAGCTGTCCAATTTTCCCCACATATTTATTGTAGAGCTACCCTTTCCCCATTGTATATTCTTGGCTCCTTTGCTGCAAATTAATTGAATATGTATGCATTGATTTATTTCTGGACTCTATTTGGTTCCAGTGATCTATGTGTCTGTTTTTATGGCCATGCCATACAGTTTGGACTCCTAGAGCTTTGTAATACCATTTGAACTCAGGGAGTGTGATACCCCCAGCTTTTTCTTTCTCAAGATTTCTTTAGCTATTTGGGGTCTTTTGTGGTTCTACACAAATTTTAGTACTCTTCGTTCTATTTCTGTGAAAAATGGCATTGAAACTTCAGGGACTGCACTGAAATTCTATATAGCTTTGGCTATTATGGGTATTTTAACAATATTCTTCCAATCCATGAGCACAGAATATCTTTCCACTTATTTGTGTCACCTTCAATTCTTTCATCATCGTCTTACAAAGTTTTCAGTGTAAAGGTCTTTCACCTCCTTGGTTAAATTTATTACTAGGCATTTTATTCTTTTGAAGCAACTGTAAATGGGACTGCTTTCATAGTTTTTTTTTTTTTCCTGTAGTTCACTATTGCTGTACAAAAATGCAAAAGATTTCTGTATATGGATTTTGTATCCTGCAACTCTACTGAATTTATTAGTTATCATAAGTTTTTTTGGTGGAGTCTTCAGGGTTTTCTATATATCACATCATCTGTAGTGACAATTTTACTACTTTTCCAATTTGGAAGCATTTTACTTCTTTTTCTTGCCTAATTGCTCTGGCTAAGACTTAAAATAGTACG